TCAATGTTCAGACAGAGATTAGAAGATTGTGGAAAATAGGGCTGTTACGATTCACTCGCGTATTCGGTGAATCGAACCGTAACCATTCATGAATTGAATTCGTTATTCATGGCCACTAGAATCGAATATTTATGAATATGCTATCATGTATATTTACATAACCTGTACCTAAAAATATCCATAACAACTTATTATATGCATAGATTTCTTTCAATGACAACACTCTAATAATATTTAATTTGATAGTATTGTTTTCACTGGTCATTGTCGCATTTGAGCAGATACTAGTCCCTGCATAAGTGCAGTATATAAATGTATAATTTAATAATAAGTAACAAACCATGTCAAATAAATTATGATGTTATTGTTTCACTGAATATGATAAATAATACATAAACTGACTTGTTATTGTAATATATATGTTATTGTCGTATATACCCTATATTCGTGATATGAATTGTATTCGCCTCATAGTGTATTCGTTGCAGCCCTAGTGGAAAACAAAATATTTTTAGTATTATCAATGATTCAAAACCCTTGCGCATTATAAGAACATGAACTCATTGCTGACTGTTGAATATTATGTTGCAAACATCAATGTTAAGGAATTAAGAAGATACATGTTTGTTGAGATTGCATGAACTGCCGTTGCGTTGTAATATCAGATGTAAAGAAGCTATAACTGTTAACCGAATTTGTAGGATATGTACTGTATTCGACATAATAAGCGCCCAGGGCGCTCTTAAAATTAGAAATAGGGGGCTCTTATTAGAATATAATTTTGGTGAGAAAAAAATACAGAGTTGAAAGATCGTAAATTTCATGATTTATGGTGACAGCCTGAAAAGAAACAAAAGAAAAGTCTGTGCATATTATACACGACAGATATATTTTCCAGAATTTAATTGCCCATAATTAAGGGTGCATATAATACACGAGTGCATATTATACACGAATAAATAAGTGTTCATTGATCAATCGGAAGGGGTGCTAATTGGGATTGTTCACTAGCCAATATATTAGCAAATATTGCTGTGGGCGCTTATTAGAGCGGGGCGCTTATTACGTCGAATACGGTAATACCAATAACATTGAAGATGAACTCCATTTTATATTTGATTGCGAGGCATATGTTTTGTTTAGAAATAAGTACATACCGATGTGGCACATTTCATCAAATATTTGCAAATTTCATAACTTACTGACTTCTAATGATGTGTCAATCCTTAACAAAAGTGCTTAGTATGTTAAAGAAGCTCTGAAATGTAAATATACACTTGATAGAAAGTACCGCCTAATTGCCATATATATATATATATATATGATATTGATCTATCGACTGTGTACATGAGCCGATGGCCTACAAAACAGAAATAAACTTGCTATACTGATATATCAGAGAGAGACTAATTGAGTACACATTTCTATGTGCTAAAGACGACTTTGTGCACACTTGATTACGACTAGCCGAGAACTGCTCAACCACTAATACGACACAATAGCCCAGAATAATCAAACACCACACACACCAAATTAAACGTCTTGATTTAATCAAATTTGATTTAAACTGGATGAAAGACTTGTTTGCAAAATTTCAATTTCTGTAAATCTGTGATTCTGCTTGAACATATTGTTAATACAGACTGAAATGTGGCTACCTAGTTCAGATCCAGAATAGTTAGTGGAAACAAAGATTAGTTGTCAATCCCTGTTAGTAAGTTAATAATCCACAAAAGTAAGTTAATAATCCACAATAGTAAGTTAATAATCCACAATCCATAACTACATACAGCCGATCTGCAGAGTGGTAGCGATGTGTGTCTATTTTTAATCAACAAATAATTCACAAATAATTTCAAATTATTCACAAATAATTCATTTCATACTTAAACTTCACGCAAACTCAACTGAGCAGACGGTCATGACACATAGAGAAATTCTGCCCTTTGTGTGATGTAACAAGAGCACTGAATGGTCTGAGCTCTCGTAGGTTTCCCTCTCCCCGAGGCACGTGGTATAAAACCTAACGAGGGACGCATAAAACCCCATGTACCCCAAGTGATGCTGCTACAACAAATTTATCTTACCAACATGTTTTAATATGACATTGTAAAATAATTCAAATAAATTCCAAATTGATAGAAAACAGCTGCTCGATTAAGCTGAGATAAGCTTACGCTATGTCACGTGACATCCATTGGCTCGGAAAAAACGGCTTTTTGCTTTGAAGCGGGATATAAAGGATTTATTCTGTCTCTCAGAAATGCATGTGCAGACTGTAGTACTTGTGGCGGGGTATAAGAGATATATTCCCCCGCTGAAAAATGTATTACCCTTCAAGGCGGGTTACACAGTATTTTATCAAGATCACGAGGACCAATCAGAACTCATCATTCTGACATGGAGGTATGATAAAGCAGATTGGCAGTATGTACTCATGGGTAATGGAGAAATGACCAGTGTCCAGTCCACACAAACCTATGAAGTATAGATGAGTAGCCTATACCCTGTAAAATATGGTAGTTAATCAACCATGCTTGAGTCCAATCCCAGTGGCTTTCTATATGTCACTGGTTGTACAGGTGTCATACACAACACACAGAGGTGATAAATCAGTGACCAATAGACACATGCTCCTCAAGGTAACAAGAAAGAGAGTGAGACTGTATGTCAGAGATACCTGAATGCCTTCACCCATAGCTTCCTCATACCAAGTTTATTTAAAGGATAAACAAAAATGGAATTTCAAACATCTTGAGAGAAATATATGCAAGAGAAAAGACCGAGTTTCATATTACTTAAGACAGACAGGGTAAAGTGACAGATTACTTCTGACAATAATTGGTATAGATGACACAGGCCCCGTGATGCCACTTGCACAGAATAACTCAGTGTCTTTTGTTTTCCAGAGTTCAACGTGCTGTGTTGGACTGATAGAACAACAAGGGTGTGCCGTATTATCGGTATACCGATAAATTGAGGTTAATTCTTTCCACGATACGTATCACAATATTTTTTCATGCTCGCTATATCGAGGTGATGTCAAATAGCGAATTTTTAATGTTATTTTCTTGCCAAATGTCTTCACTGCCCCGCAGCATATATCCAGGGCCGCAAGATGGCTGCGTATTGATTGAATAACATCATGTTGTACCAGCATCTTGTTTTGTTCCATTCATAAACTTTAATTCATACCTTAATATATCAGATTTCTGCTGAATCCAACAATTATAATGAAACAATATATCGTGATACAAATCGCAATATGGTCTTGTGTATCGCAAAATATTGTGAAACACTTTAAACCTCAAATACCCATCCCTATAAAACAAGTACAGAAACAAAAGGCATCTGTCATACATGGTTCTAGGAGTCACTGCCATAAAACTGGTTGTGATCTTTTGCTTTAATATCCGATACAAACATGGATGTGTTTTGTATTTCAAGACCTCAAGGATTGTCAGCAATTTCAAGATGGTTTCAAATCTGTTCAATCATCAGGACATGAATTTATGTATCACTGACAGCAGTCAAAATAGCTATCACGTCCTTTCAAACTTGAGGGAAGAGATCAAACAGAGCCATAGGCATTGCATTCAAGCACAGAAGAGCTACATCATTAGATATGAAAGGGTACGGTGAGAAAAAGAGGAAATATCAACAGGTTAGGATTCACCTGTCCCCCATTTTCAGTTGAGAAAATTCTGTTCGCTCCACCACAGTTGGCAATGTACCAGAGAAACCACAGGACGGAGACTTCATAGGGTTCCGAGGTTACGTTTACATTTACGAACATTGTCATGAGTGACTTCGTCAATCTACAATATCAGATATACAGAAATAGATACCTTATTACAAAAAAAGCTAATGAAGAATTAAACTCTTCTAAATTATTAAGGGATAAGAAAAACGTTTGACAAAAAATTGGTTAATTTACATCTAAATTTCTTAAATACATCAGGCAGTGAAGTCATGTTAACAATATTTCAGTTATATCCCAGCATGCCATTTTAATGTGGAAGGAAAGCCCAAAGTGAAGGAGTTGGTACGTACATGTATACACCATTTGTGAAAGTCACAAACATGGTGCTTAAATATAATGGATAATCAGGGCAAATCAATTGAGTGAGTGAGTGAGTGAGTTGGTCTTATCGCTGCTTTTAACAGTATTCCAGTTATATCACAGCGTGTCAGCTTAATGTCGGAGGAAAGCAGGAAGTGATGCAGGCATTAGACGTTTACCACTTTGGCAAAACCCACGAGCACGGGTATGGTGCTGATAAACCTAGAAACATAATCGGGCCAAACTGGGATTCAAACCCATAATCATAGATTTCAACTCTGCACAGCAAATCACGGCACCGTGGACAAATGGGCCACCCGTGCCCCCAGGGCAAGTCAAAGGTTAGGACCTATAAGGGGGTGATCATGGCATGGCTGGACATATGAGAGTTCTTGTAGCTTGCTTTTGCAATTGAACACAAATTTTGCCTACAAACTTAAAAAAGAAGGTGTACCTGTGAAAAACAGTCTCCATTTAAACATGAAACATAACTTAAGACATATTACAAACATACAGTAGACACTGGTTAAACTGGAACCTGCCGTTTCCATTAACAGGTTCTTTCAAGAATATTGGAACCAATATCAAGGAGAAATAATTTGCAATGGCTAGGTTCCAGGTTAGTAGGGTCCAACTGATGAGGTTCCACTGTAGACGATACAAACATCTTCCCAAAAATATCTTTAAACACAAGCAGAGAAACAAGCAGATAACAAATAACACTGTAAACCAAACTTGATTAGCTCCAAACAATAATCAAATAAACACGGTAAACAAGTTCCTCAAACCTGTAGCAATACTTTCAACAGTTACATCACTTCAACACAAACAAACAATGTTACAATTCTCAGTCATAGAAATGAAAGGTAAAATGCCAAATGGACAGAAAGTCGGATACCAACATGGATCAGACAACAGTGATGTCACAAATTATCACCTGTCCCCCGTTTGTTGTTCCAAATATCCTAAAGGAACCACCGGCGCCCTTTACATACCACAGAAACCATAGGGCCGATACTTCATAGGGCTCCGAGGTCACATTGACCTCGATAAACTCACGACCAAATGAGTTAGCAGCTCTGTGTCCAGATAATAGTGGAAAACAATTGAGAGAAAGAAACAATTTATAATTTTAGGTTTCGCATGATTAAGGTTATGTAGTCACTTTGGAATAGGAAATGAGTAAATGTTTGATACCATTTCATATATATACTGATTCAAAAATCAATCTCATTAAAATCAGACCTCAGTTTTCGCTACCGCTAAACAAAGATCTGAACACATCCCATTAGGGGTCACGTCAGAACGACCTTTCATCCGACCAATCAGAGCATAGCTTACCAGATTATGAAAGTGACAGTCGGAATGTGATTTCTAACCATGCAACCTCGAAAACTTTAACTCCGAACGATAGTTACGGGTTAAACGACTGAATCCATAGAATCTCGACCATTTATTAGCCATTCAAGAATGTTCTTTTGTTCAGGTTTCAAATTTGTAATCGAGAATTTGTCAAAATATGTTTCAAAGCATAGTCGCCAATTTGAAATTAGTGCCGTAAAGCACGAGGAACCTGCCTTCTGATTGGTCATTCCATTGGTTGGTCAAAGTCCGCGCAAGGTCGGTCTGACGCGACCCGTAATGGGATGTCCTCAGATCTTTGTTAAGCGATAGCTGGAACTAAGATCTGATTTCAATGAGATTGATTCAAAAATAGGACACTTTTTACAATTACATTTTATTAATATTGGTAATAGGTATAGAAAAGACTCATAACATTAACAGACAGAGTACAATCTGTTTATATTCTGTTTCTTGTTGTGTAGTCACCAGATTTGTAGCTCATGTTTTCGTGTTGAGTGAGTGAGTGAGTTGGGTTTAACACTGCTTTGAACAGTATCACCGCAGTCTGTCAGCTTGATGTGGGATTAAATTTAACTTTTTGGGAACGATAGTCAGTACTCTATTCCGCAAGCCAACATGGAAATGATGTAAGGAGACAAAAAGTAGTTCCTGCTCGGTGACCTCATCTGCATATTTAATAGATCGAGATACCAAGTTTATTGGGATTATTGTATCGAAAACACTATCCATTGTAGGATAAAAGAGCTTAGTCATCATTATCTCATAATGACAAATGATGGGTGACATCTGGCTGACGAACAGGAAAGGATATGACCTTGACCTAGGGTCAAGGTCATCTTGTTGCAGAGGAAGCTGTCTAAGAATAATGACAAATAATGGGTGACACCTGGCTGACGAACAGGAAAGGATTTGACCTTGACCTAGGGTCAAGGTCATCTTGTTGCAGAGGACGCTGTCCAAAGATTTTGAGTAGAGATCATCTCTTGGTTGTTTTGTTACAGAGAAAACCGCTTAAAGAATATGAGTCAGTAGAGACTAACACAATGGTTATAAGATCCTACCTTGTCCAACAATGTTTATCAAAGAACTGCTGCATTGTCATGCTGTCCCACTCCGCGGCATGGGGAGCAGTCCAGGGGGCGTCCAGGGGAATCTGAAACAGACGGCTACTTGTAAATACACCGAGGGAGCTTTTCAACATGGCCGCCGTGGGTGCCATTTTAAACTTCAGAATACAGTGAATGTGTACCGGTAAGGTTGTATGTCCCACGTAACAACATTCCAAATAATTTTTATTAAAAATCTGTAGAGATTATTGATCCAAAGTTTCAAAAATGATGACAAGTCAAATCAAAATCAGTCTTTTGTTATTATCCAATCTGCATGACTCCCTGCATCTTATGACAGCCGACCCGGGAAGATCCGGGGTAGGATAGGTCTTTAGCAACCCATGCTTGCCGTAAAAGGCGACTATGCTTGTCGTAAGAGGTGACTAACGGGATCGGGTGGTCAGGCTTGCTGACATGGTTGATGCATGTCACCGATCCCAATTGGGTGGATCGATGCTCATGATGTCAATCACTTGATTGTCAGGTCCAGACTTGACTATTTACAGACTGCCATCATAAAGCTGTAATATTGCTGAGTGCGATGTTAAAAAAACAAAACAAACAAACCTATGACAGCCTCTTAGAGCTGCATGTGTACATGGTGTATTGGCAAAATATTTGTATGTCAATCAGCATTGTGATATGTATATTAGGAGCTAAAGTGTTTGACACTAAACAACACTGATTGACACTTGATGTACATTCAGATCCTATTTTGTACAAATATTAAAGTAAATATTACGATGGCAAAGTCAGCCACCATTTTGTCATGGATACAGGGGAGATAACAACATGAGACAAAAAAGATTTCCACGTTTCCGTTTGTCAATCAATTTCAAAGGTAAACATCATTTGTGAATGAATTTCTGAGTTATTACTAGATTAAACGAAAAAAATAATAACGAAGCTTGTTATACTTGTTTTACACACTATATTGGAACAGTCAAAAAATTGCAATACATTTAGTTTGAAAAGCGTATGGCATACGGGAATACCATGCAGTCCTACTGCCCCTGAATAATCAATTCTGGACCGTGTTAGGATAAAACAGAACAATCACATCATCCATAAGTTCCTACCTCTTCCCCCAACTGGTCGATGGTACGAAACAAGTTGTTCATGTCAAGCCATGAAAGCAGCCCTCCCATTGGTGGAAATGTGCCACGGAATCGCTTCATACTGCCCTGTTGGGATAAAAGATTATTCTGGTATGAGAAATGCTATATTATGCATGGGTGATCATAGGTGCTTCTTAAGGATTGTTAATCATGTTTTGTGCACTCACCAATGAACTGTCACAAATTTGTGACTGTTATACTTTGATGAATGAACAAATATATATATATATATATAATGTGAAAAACAATCTTTAAATAGAACCACAATCAAGGCCAGTACAGAGCTACAGATACGCTGCATATTTGCGTAGAATACCACCCAAAACTATTTAAAACCCAATTACTTTCAGTTACCGTGCTTACAGAAACACATGCATTAAATGGAAAATGCAATTGTTTCAAATTGCAAATGCAAATTTCCGACACACAATTACAAGCTAATTTACTTTACGAGCCAACCGCATGTATTATACATCTAAACATTATGAATATCCTACTAATAATTAATACAACAGATTGCAAACACATGTTCAGATATACAATGAACACTTTTTATAACCAGTATGTGAAATAGCATGATTGAATTAACACTGAGATCACAATGTGATTCACATTATACCCGTCCCTTTGATGCTGGTTGCAAGGTGATGAATTACAAAACAAACATCGTCAAGTGTGGTCGCTGTCTGGTATTTGGGCTCGATGTAGGATGCTGGACACCTTGTAAGATTGTCATTTTTGGCCAAATCATAAACATACCCGGTACATGTCTAGCAAACAATACAGAACATTCTGCTCATAAAATTAAATATTCTATTACAGTAAACTACACTTACAACGCACACGATTATAACAAAATGACAGATATAACAAAATGTTTTCTTCAGTCCTATCCATTTGCTAAATATATGCAGTATATTATATGCTTATAATGAACTATAATTAGTGGTCCCTTTGAGTTCATTATAACTGTAGTTTACTGTACTGTTTATTATATATGGTTCAGTACAATATAATTGATTATATATTTGAATATAATAAGTGGTAGTCTTGAATTATACCGGATACCAACAGACGTATTTGTTTGATGCTTCTAACGAAGCAGCAAGCGACAACATGGCTATTTGAAAAATAGGGAGATAATTCTAAAAATAAGCAGAGAAAATAACCGCTCTTTCATTTACATGGTTTAAAATTATGAAAACTCGAAACTGAATGTCAAAAACATCGAAAATCACACAACATCGAAAATGTATGCAAAAACAAATGTTCCATAATGGTGTGCGGCAACCTCATCCATTGCAAGCATCTGGCCACATTTCAACAAACACTGGCATTTTCATGAACTATAGTCACTAAAAATTACTTTTACTTTCAACTTTATTTACATGGACTTGTGTGGTGGCAAGCCCTCCAAACCCCTGGTAATTTAGTGAGACAGCAAAAACTTACAATCTTTTACTAAAGATGAAGCTCGGACACATCAGTATGCTGCCATCTAGCCAAATATATAGTCTCTTTAATCAACAAAGATCTTATTTCATAGTCTACTGTAAAAAAACCCATGAAAAACCTGTGCGTATAGTATTAACAAGTGAGCATGTTTTTAAGGCGACCTAACTCTTTGAACATGAGTGCTGAGAGAATATGTGTGATGATAATCTGTTTACCCTTGAGAAAAAGGCTAAATCTTCAACCTCGTTGGTGAGAAACGTCTTGACCCCGAACTCTCGTGCCAGTCGCAGTAGACGGTTTTGTGTCGGTCCCACATAGGCCCCGCCAAGGTCAACATATCTGACCTTGTCATTCTGAAACAAACATGTGAAACTTCAGTCACTTTGTCTGTGTTCAACATACAAAATTGAAAAGTTTGTTTTGTTTGTTTGTTTCTCGTTTAACGCCGTACTCAGCAATATTCCAGCTAAATGACGGCCGTCTGTAAATATTTGAGTCTGTGAACCAAACAATCCAGTGACTGACATCATGAACATCGATCCAAGCAATTGGGATATGAGGACATTCATCAACCAAGTCAGCGAGTCTGACTACCCGATCCCATTAGTCGCCTCTTACGACAAGCATAGTCGCCTTTTATGGCAAGCATGGGTTGCTGAAGACCAAATCCCCTCGGATGTTCAGTGGTCCAAAATTGAAAAGAGGGCAGAACAACATATATCATGTATATTGCACCTGATGCTAAAACTGCATAAAGTTATTATAGTTATCATTATTGTTATATGGGACAGAACTGAAACTAAAATGTTCACATCAGCAGCATTAGGGGTACTCTTTGCATGATGAATCAAGTCAGACATTAGTTGTTCAGAGCTATTTGACTGACTAACAAAACACAACTTGTACAAACTATCTACAAAATCTGGTAATTGAAAGCCAGTCAATGGCCAAATCAGGGCATGGTATCTGCATGATGGGGTAAATATGACAAAGAAAAAACACATCAACACCTGTACCCTGTCTATCCTGAGCCTTCCTGTACAGTGAATGTCCATCTTCATACCCTTTCCCTGGCTTCAAGCATCAACACATCAACACCTGTACCCTGTCTATCCTGAGCCTTCCTGTACAGTGAATGTCCATCTTCACACCCTTTCCCTGGCTTCAAGCATCAACACATCAACACCTGTACCCTGTCTATCCTGAGCCTTCCTGTACAGTGAATGTCCATCTTCATACCCTTTCCCTGGCTTCAAGCATCAACACATCAACACCTGTACCCTGTCTATCCTGAGCCTTCCTGTACAGTGAATGTCCATCTTCATACCCTTTCCCTGGCTTCAAGCATCAACACATCAACACCTGTACCCTGTCTATCCTGGGCCTTCCTGTACAGTGAATGTCCATCTTCATACCCTTTCCCTGGCTTCAAGCATGATGACCTCCACCTCATCACCACTGTACCTACCTGTACTGTGAATGTCCACCCTCTGTCCCCTGCCCCGGCTTCAAGCATGATGACAACAAAACCCTACCTCTACTGTACCTACCTGTATAGTGAATGTCCGCCCTCCGACCCTGTCCCTGACAACAAAACCCTACCTCTACTGTACCTACCTGTATAGTGAATGTCCGCCCTCCGACCCTGTCCCTGACAACAGAACCCTACCTCTACTGTACCTACCTGTATAGTGAATGTCCGCCCTCCAAACCTGTCCCTGACAACAAAACCCTACCTCTACTGTACCTACCTGTATAGTGAATGTCCACCCTCCAACCCTGTCCCTGACAACAGAACCCTACCTCTACTGTACCTACCTGTATAGTGAATGTCCGCCCTCCGACCCTGTCCCTGACAACAGAACCCTACCTCTACTGTACCTACCTGTATAGTGAATGTCCGCCCTCCAAACCTGTCCCTGACAACAAAACCCTCCCTCTACTGTACATACCTGTATAGTGAATGTCCGCCCTCCGACCCTGTCCCTGACAACAAAACCCTACCTCTACTGTACCTACCTGTATAGTGAATGTCCGCCCTCCGACCCTGTCCCTGACAACAAAACCCTCCCTCTACTGTACATACCTGTATAGTGAATGTCCACCCTCCAACCCTGTCCCTGACAACAAAACCCTCCCTCTACTGTACATACCTGTATAGTGAATGTCCGCCCTCCGACCCTGTCCCTGACAACAGAACCCTCCCTCTACTGTACCTACCTGTATAGTGAATGTCCGCCCTCCGACCCTGTCCCTGGCTTCAAGGACAACAACATCAACACCTTGTTCTCGTAGTAACTTGGCAGCAGACAAACCTGAAATAGCAGTAAGTAAATGAACACGTAGTTTGTTTCACACCATAGTATTAAGTAAGTAATTTGACATGTTCATAATATAGCACCCTGACATGCATCAATCCTGTTTGACGCCTTGTAAAACAAGCATAGTCGGTTCCATCTTCCCGAGGCAAGTGAGTTAACTGACTATAAAAGTCCAGTTTCCACCCTTGCCGAACTAGGCTGGTATTATCATGATTATGGAGTTAAATTTCCTCATTCCCATCTTAATTTTCAAATCTCAGTTACCAAGGTTACAGTCATCATTCGTGAACAAATATGAAATATTGTTGTGAAATTAATTATATCGTCCTCTTTGACGTGTAAAACATAAGTACACTTGGGGATAAACCCAAATTTTACAGTCATCCATGGTATGTACTTCCGTCAACATGTTCAATATAGAAGGTAAAATTACCTAAAATCTACACAGAAATTCATTCAATGATGTTCCTTTCGAAATTGATTGATAAAAAGGCAGCATATTGGAATTTTTTTTTCTTACGTTGTTGTCTCCCCTGTATCCATGACTACAAAATGGTGGCGACTGACCATGCTGTGAAATATTTACTTCAGTATGTACAAAATATGATCTGCATGTACAATAAGTGTGAATCAAGGTCAATAACTTCAGCTCCCAATACATCGTAATACATATCACAATACAGATCCCTGTATCACAGGGCGGTCGGGTAGCCTAGTGGTTAAAGCATTCGCTCGTCACAACGAAGACCCGGGTTCGATTCCCGACATGGGGACAATGTGTATAGCCCATTTCTTGTGTCCCCCGCCGGAATATTGCTGGAATATTCCTAAAAGCGGCGTAAAACTATACTCACTCACTCACTCACCTGTATCACAATCTACTGCAGTACTTTTTTTTTTGCCAATTTACAGGCCTAGTTGGAAGACTCAGTAATCAAGATCTTTGCAAATGAAATCACCCATGTTTTCCTTCCTCATTCCAAATCCAGTTAATGACATAATTTTGAGTTTTAATTTCCTACAAAATAAAACACTACGTAAAAACAAACACCCCTCTGTGGCTCAGTAGCTAAACCAGTTCCTTTTACACAAATCATTACAAGAGAACTGTTGATGAGTGACTTGTAGACTCGGAATGTGAGCCATTGTCATCCTGATGTCAAAATGGAGGACTGTATTGTCATTCTAGCGCCTCAAAGCCAGCTAAATTAGGGTTGTATATTCCACAGGGAGCTGAGAATGAAAACATTAAGTGCATACTGAGCCATTCCCTGAAGTTACATGAGTATGGAGTTTAGCACTACTTAAGAAGCCTCATTATTATTATTATTTACAGATTAAAATAAAATGCAGCAAAGAGGGTTTGTTATTATTATTATCATTATTATTGTTATTATTATGGAGTTTAGCACTACTTAAGAAGCCTCATTATTATTATTATTTACAGATTAAAATAAAATGCAGCAAAGAGGGTTTGTTATTATTATTATGGTGTCCTCCCATTAGTTAGACGTCCCAATAGTTAGACAGCTTATAACAACACTTGAAACGGTTGGGTGCACACTAATCCTTATGCTTGTTACCTAAGACTTTAAAATGGAATAGTCCAGATAAGATCTGACAAACAAAGCAAAGCAGCTTTAAATAGACACTTTAATATTAAAGTCGCTCTTCCCTTCTTCCTCTTTAACCTCCATCAAAAAGAACTCACCGAATAAAATAAAAACTAAAAACTAAATCACCAATCACCCGAATAATGGAAGGACTAAATATTTTTCAGTGGAACGCCAACGGACTCACCTCCCACGGCCATGAACTAAAAACTAAATTTAAACTAAATAAAGGCCCTCACATGTATTTGCTTGTATACAGGAAACCAAATTCTCAAAAAAAATCCAAATTCACACTACCTAACTACAACTCAGTTAGAACTGACAGAGCTAAACCGAAAACAAGAAGATCCGCAGGAGGAAACGATCTATTCGAGGGCCTATAAACATATTGGCTGCCTTATCGGCGTTTTCATTACCGTATATCCCTACGTGGGCGGGTATCCACAAGAAGGTTACTTGTTTGCCTGCCTTAGTTAGGACGTTGGAGCTTTTGAGTTTTTTATTTTTATTTTTTGGTATTTAATGATACGTACCCCAAGATCATTTATATTTGTTTGATGAGTAGATAATCTCAACTCAACTCAGTTTACATGTGCTGAGAGTAAGGTATTTTAGATTAATTAAACGAAATTGTAACATATATACTCCCTAAACTGTGAGTCCCCTATCCCTACTCAGTACTTTAATCTAATTAGGACTGATCCATTACACCTGTAGGTACAATCCCTCTTTGCCTAAGTAAAATTGTCTAACAATTGGGACGTCTAACTAATGGGACGTCTAACTAATGGGATATAACCATTATTATCATTATTATTATTATTATTATGGAGTTTAGCACTACTTAAGAAGCCTCATTATTATTATTATTTACAGATTAAAATAAAATGCAGCAAAGAGGGTTTGTTATTATTATTATCATTATTATTGTTATTATTATGGAGTTTAGCACTACTTAAGAAGCCTCATTATTATTATTATTTACAGATTAAAATAAAATGCAGCAAATGTTATTATTATTATCATTATTATTGTTATTATTATGGAGTTTAGCACTACTTAAGAAGCCTCATTATTATTATTATTTACAGATTAAAATAAAATGCAGCAAAGAGGGTTTGTTATTATTATTATTATTATCATTATTATTATAAAATACAGAGAAGCAATCTGATTGTCAATTCACTGAATTAACCTACGCAGATCAGCATGATAAGTGGTTGGCAAAATGTAGATTACCTTTTATATTTAGACTGACTTTTGAAAGTTGACCTCAATCTCTACCAGTCCAGAAAAATATGCAAGTCTGTAAGTCCAGAGACAACTGGAAGATGTGTTGCCAAGATTTGTGACAGGTAGTATGTCTTTCACACAGGGCATATGAACAAATATACACAGCTGGCAGGCAGGCAGCCATGTACACCATAAAAAGGTGACAGCGTCACTTTCATCCCTGTAGATTTGCCCCTCAATCCTAATTAAACCCCTGGAGCCCCAGGCACACTTAGCTATATTACCATCGTTCATGAGGTTTTCCATACATTTGAAACAGTCAGGGTGTTTGCCTGCATGCCATGACAGAATATCCTCACCACAACCCACCCTGTGAACAAATCAAAGCCATGAACACTAAAACTGTTGATTCTGTGTCTTGACTGACACAGACATGATGGAGACATCCTCACAACCCTCCCTTGTGAACACAGAATCACCTAAGACTGCTGACTCGGTCTTGACTGACACAGACATGATGGAGACATCCTCACAATCCTCCCTTGTGAACACAGAATCACTTAAGACTGCTGACTCGGTCTTGACTGACACAGACATGATGGAGACATCCTCACAACCCTCCTTTGTGAACACAGAATCATCTAAGACCGCTGACTCGGTCTTGACTGACACAGACATGATGGAGACATCCTCACAACCCTCCCTTGTGAACACAGAATCATCTAAGACCGCTGACTTGGTCTTGACTGACACAGACATGATGGAGACATCCTCACAACCCTCCCTTGTGAACACAGAATCATCTAAGACCGCTGACTTGGTCTTGACTGACACAGACACGATGGAGACATCCTCACAACCCTCCCTTGTGAACACAAAATCATCTAAGACCGCTGACTCGGTCTTGACTGACACAGACATGATGCAGACATCCTCACAACCCTCCCTTGTGAACACAGAATCATCTAAGACCGCTGACTCGGTCTTGACTGACACAGACATGATGGAGACATCCTCACAACCCTCCTTTGTGAACACAGAATCATCTAAGACCGCTGACTCGGTCTTGACTGACATGGACACATGATGGAGACATCCTCACAACCCACCCTTGTGAACACAGAATCACTTAAGACCGTTGACTCGGTCTTGACTGACACAGACATGATGGAGACATCCTCACAACCCTCCCTTGTGAACAACTCTCCTTTGTGAACACAGAATCACTTAAGACCGCTGACTCGGTCCTGACTGACACAGACATGATGGAGACATCCTCACAACCCTCCCTTGTGAACACAGAATCATCTAAGACCGCTGACTCGGTCTTGACTGACATGGACATGATGGAGACATCCTCACAACCCTTCCTTGTGAACACAGAATCACTTAAGACCGAGTCAGCGGTCTTGACTGACACAGACATGATGGAGACATCCTCACAACCCTTCCTTGTGAACACAGAATCATCTAAGACCGCTGACTCGGTCTTGACTGACACAGACATGATGGAGACATCCTCACAACCCTCCTTTGTGAACACAGAATCATCTAAGACCGCTGACTCGGTCTTGACTGACTCGGACATGATGGAGACATCCTCACAACCCTCCCTTGTGAACACAGAATCATCTTAGACCGCTGACTCGGTCTTGACTGACACAGACACGATGGAGACATCCTCACAACCCTCCTTTGTGAACACAGAATCATCTAAGACCGCTGACTCGGTCTTGACTGACACAGACATGATGCAGACATCCTCACAACCCTCCTTTGTGAACACAGAATCATCTAAGACCGCTGACTCGGTCTTGACTGACACAGACATGATGGAGACATCCTCACAACCCACCCTTGTGAACACAGAATCACCTAAGACCGCTGAGTCGGTCTTGACTGACACAGACATGATGGAGACATCCTCACAACCCTCCCTTGTGAACAACCCTCCTTTGTGAACACAGAATCATCTAAGACCGCTGACTCGGTCTTGACTGACATGGACATGATGGAGACATCCTCACAACCCTCCTTTGTGAACACAGAATCATCTAAGACCGCTGACTCGGTCTTGACTGACATGGACATGATGGAGACATCCTCACAACCCACCCTTGTGAACACAGAATCACCTAAGACCGCTGA